GTATGGCTTTCGAGTGTCGGTTTAGTATAAAATGTGGATTTTTTATGTTAGAAAATCGTGGTTCCTAATAGCCTATTTATAAATTCTCTCTCTCTCTCTCTAATAAAAAGGTTTTTTCTCCCTTGTTTATTCATGTTTCTAAGCATGTGCTTACTGTCGGCTGAGAATGAATCTGTTCTATTTTGGTTTAATATATCACGTTTTCACTTTTTATAGGACAAACGTGTTAGAGAGATAGTGTTGAAAGCCATGGGGCAGGCAATCAGTAAAACAGTTTCCATTGCAGAAATTTTAAAGGTTTGAGTCCTTTACATTCTGCAACTGTGCATGTGTAACTTATTTTATAATTAACATGCCAGTTTCATTCTGAAACAGAAGAGAACTCCACAATTGCATCAAGAAACTTCCATCAGCTCAGTAAGCATAATTGATGTATGGGAGCCTATTGAAGAAGGTCTTGTACCGTAAGTTTTAATCTCTAAAAATCTCTGTTAATTGCCTGATGACGTCCTATGCAATTACTGCTGGTTGGTTTCTTTATGCTCATAGTCACGACTTAGCGTTGTTTGGATTGGTACTCTTTAGTTTGCAATTGCAGATTTTCTTACTATTATTGCTGTGGGCATGTAGCTTTAGCATACTCTTCTGCAGATATTTAAGTAATAATGTCTGACATATGATGCAGTGTGGAGATGACTCGACACGTCTCAATGATATCAATTACCCTGTCAAATCGAGAACTAAATAAAGATTCTCCTGGGTAAGATGTGAAAGTCTAATCTGAGCTGCTTTCCAGTTTTTACACGCAAGTCTCTTATTACGAATGTTTCGAGATGAAAAGTGTTACTATTTGTAGGTATCAAGCTCCACAATTTGTGGAGCAGCCAAAGCAACAATATAAGCAGCAGCAACAACAACAGCCCAGACAATCTCGTCCTTATTACAATGCTGTTAACGAAGGTGATCCTTTTTTCTGAAAGATAAAATGTACTGTTACAGCGTGAAGATGTAGAGAATGTGATATCTTCGACCCTATTTTATAGTGTAGCAACACAAATACATAAATAAAATACCTGAAACAGAATCAGGAAAATTAAGAATTCTTGGGATTTTGTTACATCATTCCAATTAGTAAAGAAACCAAGTGTTCTATTACAAGTGAATTGGGGCTTTGGGATGTTAAGGTAGACTAGATGTTAGCTGTGGGTTTGAGATACTGAGTGGGAATCTAAAAGAAAGGAATCACCTGATCAGTGTCTTTGAAAGCCCTCCCAGGTGTTATATGTCACGGTTATGCTTGTTCATTGCGTGCTTCCTATGAGTGCATGCCCATTCCAAACCTTTTACCTTTCATTGCATGTCTTTCATTCTAGCGTAGTATACGACTAATTGTTGAATCTTCCAATTCGGGTTATATGCTATCAATGTTGTTGGGCTGGCTAGAGAATAACATTTACTTAAAAAGCTTTTTAAAATATTTTTCAAAACTCTCTCTAACCCCATTTATTAAAATTGTTTTCCAAGAATAGGAGGTCGAGGCTACGAAATAGACAATCCAAGTTTAGAGCTAATTGACTTACTGAAGGGCGAGAGTAAATGCTGCACAATTACTTCGAAAGTCCAGAAGAAGCGTGATTGTGACACTAGGCGCAGTTCTAGTGCCTCACCTTTTCAAGAAGGCATATGCCGTCCTGAAAAGCTACTGGGTTTTATTGCTCCTAGAGCTTTAAGAAACAGTGCAGTTGATGTTACTCGAGAATAACATAATTTCATAAGATAATCACAAGCTACAAATATTTTCCCCTCAGAGATAGGTAGCACCCAATTAATTCTAATTCATTGGGGAGGTCACAGTTGATGTGTTTGGAAAAACTACAAATAAATTTGAGTGGAGATCATACTATTAACTGTTAGATTATGGTCCTTTCTATAATTTTGGCAGATCCATATGGTCAAAGCCGAGGTCGAGGTCGAGGTGGAGGGAGAGGGCGTGGTTGGGGCAGAGGTGGATATGGAAACTACCAAGGGGGATATGGCAACTACCAGGGCGGATATGGCCATTACCAAGGCGGATATGGCCATTACCAAGGCGGATATGGCCACTATCAAGGTGGATCTGGTGGCTACCAAGGTGGTGGCCCTGGCGGCTACCAAGGCAACTATCAAGGTAGATAAGTTTTCCCTCTTTCAGTTTTGATCATGCTAGATCTTGAGCACGGCCTAATTTTTAGTTTCGATTTTGACACATAGATAATGGTGGGTACTCGAATTGGAGTAGAGGTGGTGGGCGAGGCCGAGGTTGGACATATCGTGGTAAGTTTCGTTCTCAAATTTCTTATCTTGTTTAGAATCTAATCTAACTAACTGTCATTTTGCACATTTTGTCCATGTTCTGTACCACCTAGTTGTTTAATCTCTTGGAATGTGATCTGTATTTATGGATTTCTTAAGAAAACGAGATCAAATGTTTTCGAGTTTGACTCTTTAAGTATTTCTTGGTTTAACCAAAATCTTGAACATGTTGAAAATAATCATGGGTTGAGTTTGTTCGAATCAATCGCATTCCTTTCAGGAACTGGCTATGATAGAGGCAGAGGGGGGAGGGGTTATGGTCGAGGTCGAGGTCGGGGTCAGATAGACGGACAAACAAGGGACAATGGTGGCAGTAGAAACCAGGTTTAGTTAAAAAAAAAAAGTTACTCTTTTCACTGTTCTCTTTTCTTGAGCTAAAATGCCTTGCCTTTGCCAGTGAGATGCTTTTTATCAGAATTTACTGTTTTTAATAGCGTGGTAATTTCGCTTCTTACGGCGTTGTTGAGCAGTAATTTCTTCTTTTTTGCCTTTGATATCGTGGTAGGCAAGGTTGTTTTTGTTCATGTTATGCGTGTATCCACTGTAATTTGCTTTTACCCCCATAGGTTGTTTTTGTTCAAAAAATATAATTTCACATAATTTATAATCTAGAATCGATATATTGTCTTTAATCATAGAAATAATTTTGATTTAAACTTATTATCCAATAATAAAAAGTCTATATATATATATATATATATATATATATATATATATATATATAATACTATTTGTAATGGCCAGATCCACCGCTAGCGGATATTGTACTATTTGGGCTTTTGCTTTCGGGCTTCCCCTCAAGGCTTTAAAACGCGTCTGCAAGGAGAAAGTTTCCACACCCTTGTACACGGTGGTTTGTTCTCCTCTTCAACCAATGTGGGACATCACAATTCACTCCCCTTTGGGGCCAGCGTCCTCGCTTGCACTCTTTCCTTCCTCCAATCGATGTGGGACTGCTCCCAAATCCACCCCATTTGGGGGCCAGCGTCCTTATTGGCAGTCTATCCCTTTGGGGAACAGTGAGAAGACTGGCACATCGTCCCATGTCTGGCTCTAATACCATTGTGTATATATATTATAACAATTTTGATTTAAATAAAAATTAGCATATGAATTTTGTTTATGGTCCGATGTCCAGATTCATTGTATTTGTTTATGAAAAAAAATTAAATTTTCATTTTTAAAAAAAAAATTAAGAAAAAAAAAAACAAAACAAAAAAGCTTTGTTGGTGACATGGTGGACTGTTTTCTTAGCATCTTAAAAATTATAATGGGGACAAATTCGTAATTTTCGAGGCTTAATTATTTTCTATGTATGAATGTGACCGTAATAACGGCCATATTCATTCCGTACCGTCACTACTACGAATAAATAAATAAATAATACAAATTTGAGACAGTTTTCAATTCTTAAGATATTTTGTTTTCTTTTTACTATGTTGTCTTTCTCTCTCATCCATTCCAAACTTTGTTTAAGAACAAATAATCATTATTTCTTCCCTAATTAAAAGTTTCATTAATGTTACTACCAAGTTAGAGGATATTAATTTCGTTTTTATTTAAGATCGAACAAATTTCATATGTACAAGCACCGCTAGTTGTACCAACGCCGATAATTACAAGTAAATCTAAAATATAGTTATTGAAATTCTCGATAATTAGTATTTACGTTAATATCCTTGAGCAACGTGGCTGAAAGTTCAACGCAAGGAAATTGAAGAGAAGAACAAATTTCGCACGGCTAAACAACCCAATATAAAACAAGTGAAGTTATTGAACGTATTGAGATATCATCAAAGAAACGGCAGAGGTGTTCATACGAACACGACCCAAAAATCCGACCAATTTGGACTACCCAACCTGAACCATAAAAGATGGGCTAAATTAGATTTTTTTTTCTTTAATTTGAGTTGGGTTGAATTTTTTGAAAACCAAAAAATTTGGGTCGGTTTGCAAGTTGACTTTTTTTCTTTATCGGGTCAACCGAAAGATAGAGTTATAACTCAATTCTAATGAAAATTAAGAATATTTGACGTTTGAAACCGATGTTAGTGATACGTTTTGACTTATGAATGTTTGATATTTGAGTTTTATGAGATTTTAGTTATTAATATAATATATATTGTGTGGATAAGTATGAATTTTTTAAAAATGAACCACCGAGCAACCCAACCCGAAAATAAAGAGATTGATCGAGTTGGGTTGTGAACTCTATTCAAGTTGCTCGGGTCACCAACCCAATCAACCCAAAATTTAAGGCTGATTCAAAAGATTTTCTAAACCCAACTGATATACTCCCCTAAAATTCTTACAAGAACAATGTAGCGGATTGTTAGACTGAACCAACAATCATTAAAATAGCATCGAGACAAAATAGTACAACAATAGATAAACGGATCGACATAGTACAAAACACGAGAAAATTCTTATCCATACATCTACAACAAGGTGTGTGTTTACAAGAAATCGACGATCGAGATTCAATCGTAAAAGACGTGGCAATCGACATGGCACGGGATGAGAGAGAGAGAGATAAAGGGTTGGTTGAATGTAGACGGAAGAGCGACCTTCTTCATTGCTTAGGGGACCTTTTAGCCCTTTTGGGTGTTGTCTTCATCGTTTGCTTTATAAGGGCTTTCCATTTCCAAAGGAATAAAAGCTTTGAAGAAGAAGAAGAGGAGAGAGAATGGCTTTAGAGAGAGAGAAATTAGGAGAGAGAGAGAAATTAGGAGAGAGAGAGCAAAAGAGCTCAAAAGATGAACTTTTTCATGTCATTCATAAGGTTCCACCTGGTGATACTCCTTATGTTAGAGCAAAATATGCTCAGGTAAATCTCTATCCCCTTTGTTTGCTTTCGTTTCGTTCGGTAGCTGTTGGGTCGAAAATAATCGAACCGTCGACCTTCAAGATTCCTAGTAAAAGTTATGCTCGAGTTAGCTCGAGCTCTCTCTCAATTTCAATTGGTTGGTTGCTTTGTACTCTGTTCTCCCAAGTTTCAATGTAATGTAGTTCTTTTTCTCTTTCGAACAAAATTTTTCAAACGAGATAGATTGGAGTTTTTATTTTTCTGGGTCGGGTGCAAAACTTGAACTTTTGACATTTAGATCGATGGCCGTGTTTCTAAATTATAAAATTTTTGCATAAAAGTAGTGAGGTGTTAGAAAAATCTGATGACTCGAAAAACTTGATCAACTCAACTCAACTCAACCCAACCCAACCCAACCCAACCCAACCCAACCCAACGCAACCCGTATGATTTAGGTTAGATTGGGTTGGGTTCAAATAGGTTGGTCCAAATAAATTGGTTCATTGGTTGAACTCAACTAACCCGTATGATTTAGGTTAGATTGGGTTGGGTTCAAATACATTGGTTCATTGGTTGAAACATGACCAAAATAATTTGGTTAGGTTGGTTCATTCAAGACCAAAATTTATTGTTAATTTTAAAATATAAATTTTGATGACACGTATATTTATTTTATTTTTTAAATTTTATAATAATTTTTAAGTTAATATTTAGAATATAATTTTTTTTTTAATAAAATTGAGTTACAAAATTTAATTAAATATTTAAAAATAAATAAATAGATAAATTTAAGAGTAATATTTAAATTAAAAAATTAAATATTTATGATACTATTTTGTAGAATATTACAATAAATTTTAAATTATTTTAAAAAATTTAGATTATTGTTTGTGAATTTGTTCAGTTGATAGAGAAGGATCCAGAGAGTGCAATTTCATTATTTTGGGAAGCAATAAATGCAGGAGACAGAGTTGAAAGTGCTCTAAAAGACATGGCTGTGGTTATGAAGCAAATTGATAGAGCTGAAGAAGCCATTCATATCCTCCAAACCTACAGATTTCTCTGCTCCAAACACTCCCAACAATCGCTCGATAACGTTCTTATCGATTTGTTTAAGGTTCGTGTCTATTTCATCTCTAAATTATAAGATTCGTTGGCTAAATTCGTAACCAGAGCAATCCGAATAGACCGGAATTTTTCATAATAATCATAGAAGTAGGGTAGAGATGAGTTGTAATCCTATTTTCGGATGGGTCGGATGAACTTGAACCTAAAAAATGTCAACCTGCTAACAGATCTGAGTTTTTGGTTTTTCGAAAATTCGACCCCAACCCAAATCGAAAAGAAAAATCTTACTCAACCCAATGTTTATAGTTTGGGCTGGGTAGTCCGAGTTAGTCGGGTTGACTTGAACTAAAAAAATGTCAACCCATGAACTGACTTGAGTTTTTTGTTTGAAAATTCGACCCAACCCAAATCTTGAAAAAAAAAATCTTACTCAACCCAATGTTTAGTTCGGATTGGGTAGTCCGAGTTAGTCAGGTTGACCTAAACTAAGAAAATGTCAACTCACGAACGGCCGTGAGTTTTTGGTTTTATAAAAATTCGACCCAACCCAAACTGAAAAAAAAAATCTAACCCAGCTCATTGTTTATGGTCTGGGTTGGATAGTCTGAGTTAATTGGGTTGACTTGAACTAAAAAATGTCAACCCACGAACAGTCCTGAGTTTTTTGTTTTACTAAAATTCGACCCAACCCAACCTAAAAAAAAAATCTAATCCAACTCAACATTTATGGTTTGGGTTAGGTAGTTCAAGTTAGTCAGATTGACGTGAACCAAAAAAGTGTCAACCTACGAATCGACCTAAGTTTTGGTTTTTCAAAAAGTCAACCCAACCCAAACTAACAAAAATATAACCCAACCCAACGTTTATGGTTTGGGTTAGGTAGTCAAAGTTAGTCAAATTGACCTGAACCAAAAAAATGTCAACGCGTGAACCGACATGATTTTCTAATTTTCAAAAAATTCGACCAAACCCAAACCGAAAAAAGAAAGTTTAACTCAACCTGACGTTTATGTTTTGGATTTGGAGGTTCGAGTTAGTCAGGTTGACTTGAACCTAAAAAATGTCAACCCATAAACCGACTTGAGTTTTTGAGTTTCGGAAAATTCGACCAAACCCAACATTTTAGGCGGGTTCTCGGATCAGTTGAACACCCGTAATGTAGAAATGCGGAAGTTATCGAGAGTCGAGAATTTTTATTAATTAGTTTGTTAATTAATTTTGTTGAATAGAAATGTGGAAGAATAGAAGAACAAATTGAGATGCTGAAGAGAAAACTAAGAAAGATATATGAAGGAGAAGCTTTTAATGGAAAGCCCACAAGAACAGCTCGTTCTCATGGCAAGAAATTTCAGGTTTCTGTCAAACAAGAAACCTCTAGATTATTGGTACTTCTCTTTCCCCTTTCCTTTTATCTTCTTCCAATTTCACCCCATAATTAACCATAATTACAAAATAACCTCAATCAGTTAAAATTTCAAAATAACCATAATTAACTTTCAAATTTACATTAATACCCTTAAACTTTTTATTTATTTATTTAATTTCAACTTATGAATTTTAAAAATTAGTATCACATTTTATTTAACTTTTAAACCGGGCATTTTTGAAGATTTTAAAAAAGTTTAAGAGTATTTTTTTAATTTATTTTAATTAGGGGTATTATTGAAACTTTAAAAATCAATTTTTATAAATTTAGCCCCAAATAAACACTAAATTCTCAAAATTTCTAAAATATACCCCAAAAAAAAGTGTAAATTACAATTTTCTGGCCTATCAAATGGGCCTGAATTTGTGAACAGGGGAATCTGGGGTGGGCCTACATGCAAAAGCCCAATTACATGATGGCGGAGGCAGTGTACAAAAAGGCCCAAATTATCGATCCAGACGCCAACAAAGCATGCAATTTGGGCCTTTGTTTGATGAAACAGGGCCGCCTCAATGAGGCCATTTCGGTTCTCCAACAAGTCCAGCAAGGCAGAATTCCGGGCTCTGATGAGATCAAAGCCCAAAAACGGGCAGGAGATTTGCTGACCCAAATTAGGTCGAGACAATCGCTGCCCGATTCCATCGAGCTATTGGGCCTCAGTATTGATGGCGATTTGCTTAATGGGCTTGAGCAATTGGTCCATGAACGAGGCCCATTTAGGTCCAAGAGGCTTCCGGTTTTTGAGGAAATTTCTTCATTTAGGGATCAATTAGCATGTAATTAATTAATTAATTAACTTTTCCTTTTTTCCTTTTTATTTATTTATTTTTAATGTAGATTGGGGTTGGTGTTGGGATTTAGAATAATGTGTGTCTCGGTTTTGTAAATAAAGAAAAACGAAGGAGCTGAATGCAAATTTGAAAAGGAAATGTTTTGTGTAAATTTAGTATTGATGTTGGAATAAATATTTGTTTTTTTTTTTTTTTTTTTTTGTA